ATTTGTTTCAAGTGGATTTAAAGGAAGAATCATGTCTGTGGATATTATTTAAGCTCTTGACACCTTTGTGCTTTCTTTGGTACATGAGTGCAGTTTTCTGAGTATATTCTTCACCTCCTAATGTTTCTGTTTGCTCTCCTTCAGATACCTCTCCCTCACTGAGTCTATGGAGGCTACTGACATCCTCAACCCTTCACTGAATTATGGCATCGTGGTGGACTGTGGCAGCAGTGGCTCCAGGATCTTTGTGTATTACTGGCCGCCCCATAACGGGAACCCCCACACCCTACTGGACATCAGACAAATGAGGGACCGCAGCCGCAACACTGTCGTCAAGAAGATCAAGCCTGGTGAGGATGCGAAGCTCACTCGGAGTTTGTACAGAGTGTGAAAGCTTGCTGAGAACTTATAGCTCTACATGAGCAAATGTTAGACTGGTTTTATGAATAGATCCTCTGCTACTCCCCAGGCAGTATGGTGTACAGTGGTTAGAACTTCAAAGCCACAAAGTTTCTAGTTCAGGTCTACTGATTGGCTGGGGCCTTTCTTTACGTATCAAAGTTTTAAGACATGGATTTTAGGTTAAGTGAAAGTTCCTAGCTGGCCTTGGATGCGCGGTAGATGAAGTGCTTAGAGCATATAGAATTAAACACTGTATGAATGTCTGGTTAAAGTTCTTTGTCTGAATTTGAAAAGTCCTGTCTGTCCATTTTTATCGTCCTTCATCCTCTTACATATTCCTCACATCCTACTGTCTGCACTCTTGTGTATCCTCCTCTCTCTCTCTCCCTTTTTTCTTGTAGTATAGACGTCCTTTCTTATTATCTGCTGTGGTAGAATAACATGTGAGTTATTGACCAGTTTTGTGAGCCACTGATAATTTTATGAAATGTTTTTTTTTTCAGATGGAAATTAGTTTGCAAAAGTTTCACTGTAAAAGGCTTTTTATAAGAACTGAACAGTTTCTGTGTATTAAAATGCTAAATGGCTTTTAATTTGAAACATATACAGGAAATGTTACATTTGTATAAATGGCTTACCCTTAACAGAACAGGAGCAGGTCAGAGTACTAAAATTCTCTTTATACTCAGTCAGAAATGGTAAATGGCCTGCATTTGTATAGCGCTTTAC